ACCCCCACTCCACAAGGGGCGAGAGGGCACTGGGGCAAGAGGGGCTCGGCAGTCCCAGGCAGGGCAGCCGGGGGCCTGTCCTTCCTGAGAGAGTGCAGGAGTGCCCCTTCATTCCCTCGGAAACGGCCCCATGTCCTGGAGGGGGAAGGGAGTTGCTGTGCCAAGCTCTAGGTGGGGTAATTTATGACCAGGGATGGAGGCAAAGGAAATCTCTCACGGAAGCGAAGGACACTAGGGATCAGCATCTGCGGGGAAAGGTGGGAAGTTGCCTTTCCTCTCCTCAGTCCAGAGAGAGGCTTTGCGTCCCTGCCCTCTGGGGCCGAGGAGGGAAAGGCGGATGCCCGAAGATGAGCAGAGTTCCAGGAGTGGTGGGATCTCGGCCTCCACTGTGCCCTGTTCCCCCAGGCAGCGAGTGCAGGCGGCACTGAGCGCTCACTTCCCCGGGACATGGTTCCCGTTCCCGGCTTGGCCGCCTCCGGCCCCTGCCCTTAATGAGATTCTTTGAAATCCAAAAAAGCGAGATTTAATGTTACATCCTTATCTTTGGAAGAGCGCAGTTTTCTTGCCGCGGCGACGTCACTTGTTAAACAATCCGCGGCTGAGCCCCTGAAAAGAGAGGCATTGCACCCTTCGTGCTGAATACGCTTCTCAGTGCGCATAACGCCAAGGCCTTTTGATGTCTCACAATGTGTGTTACGCCCAAAGATTGTCTCTTTGGACAGATCTACAACGCTTGGCTTCATGTTTGGAAGTTAAATGGACAGCGAGGTTGTAGAAACTCCCACGCTTGAAGCTGGCGCAGACACTCGGTACTTTCGCCTGTTACTTTCCATGAGTGAAAGCGGCAGGGGTGGAGGGAAGGGGCTGCTGGTTTAATCCGTGCTCTGAGGCAAAGGGAGGGGGGAAAGCAATCCGGACTTTTCCTCTCTTTTCTTTTCTTCAGTTTATTCTTTGGCAGCCTTAAAATAAGAGCTATGTGCAAAGCGTGCGCCCTGCCTAGGTAGCTGGCAGTCGCTGGCAATGTAGCTGCTCCATGAAATCAAAATTTATGATTATTCAAATGTTGGGGACTGTGAAAAGAGAGGAAGAAAGAGAGAAAATTAATATTGCAGCTGTTCTTCTGATTAATGAGAGATAATTGCTCATGAAAAGTCACCCCTGTGGCATTTTGTTGTCTCCTGGATCTTTGTTCTTTTCCACTATTATTGAGGACTTTCTTGAAGACTAAGCGGTTCTTTTCAATTTTTGGTATTCAGAAAGTGTTGCTTGGTTACAGATAATGGAGAAATCTCGGGCTATATTGGGTAAGATGTGCCACAGACAGCAATATCACAATGCCACTTTCAGAAAAGGATGGATACAAGTTAACGATGCGCTTTCAATAAAACATTAATAGACTTGTTCACGCTTTTATAATGACCGCCTTAATGGGAGCTGGGGGCAAGTCCTGTCTTTAGATTGCGTTCACTTCAGAAAGGCCAGCCTCGGGATTGCCGATCACTTTGGAAATTAATAGGAAATCAATGCTAGAGTAGCGAATAAATGCGATTATAGCGCAGGAGCCCGCGGCCCCTCTCTTACCCACGCAAGGCTTTATTTTGAGCGGGACTTTCCCGGACGGGAACTGCTCCAGCCCGGGGCGCAGCCTGCCTAGTCCCACCGCATGTCACCCCGGTGTGATGTTTGCGGCCATGGCTGCTCTGCAGGTGTTGTTTTGGGGGTTTTTTTTAGGTTTTGCGTGGGTTTTTTTTTGGTTTGGTTTGGGTTTTTTTTTTTTTTGGTTGGTTGGTTTTTTATTTTTCTGGTTTTTTGGTTGTTGTTTTTTGTTTTGGTTTGGTTTTGTTTTGTTTTTCAGTTTAAAACATGTCCCCGGGCTGCGGCACTTTCCGCTGAAGCAGCTCCTCCCGTGAACTCCGCGGAGATGCGCGGCTGAAAGCCGGCACTTTCTCCAGGCGGGCATGGCTTTTTCTTCTGCCGGGGTTGGGGGAGGGAAGGGAAAGAGTTGCTTTTGTCATTTAAGCCGTGAATCTCTTCTACATAAAGGTGTTAGAGACATCTGGAAGAAAAGAGGGACCAGCACCCAGTCCTGCGCTCGGCGGACCAGGGGAGCGGCTCTGATGTTCTTTTTGAACTGCTCCACTTTCAAAAGGGGGCAATTTCGTTACATTCTCATTTGTTACACTGTCTTGAACTAAAGGCAGACAAAGCTATACTCTGTCACCCCGAGCAGAATGAAGGGAATCAAAGGATTTTCCCTTAAAAGGACTAATTTTCTCCTTGAATTATGAAAGTAATGGCTAGGTAACAGCCTGTGCTCTGTACCCAACTGCTTAATACCTTCTAAATCCTTCCACGTGGCTCTCCCAGTCGTAGCAATTAGAGCTCATTATAGGCTCATAAGAGCTCTCATTTCGGGGATTACTTAATGGACAATGAAATTTTATCGGACAGAATTATTGAAAAATAAAATTGTAACGAGGCCGATGTGATGTGGGCGCACGCCTTGCATCATTCCGCCTGGTTTGGGATGTCTTTGCTTTCAAATGACTTCTTTTCTTGCTCTGGCTTTCAGGGGTGGGTTTTTCCTAGTGATCTCTCTCTTCCCCTCCCTTTTATCACTGCGTTCGGTTTATTATAACAATTACAAATTGCAATTTTGATCCGACTCTTTCTCTGTCTGCCTTCCCTTACGACAGCCCCTCCCCAGATCCACTCCATCACTGCAGACAGCTTTTTCCATCGAGGTTTGGGGTTGTACTATTATATTTTCATTTTCCAGAATAGTATCTCCTAAAGGAAAACAGAAAAATTAATTTAAAAAATTAAAATAAAATGCAGATATCAATTCAAACCTTCTCCAGATACACTTTGCTTTAAACGGGAAGAGCCGAACCAAATATGCCATGTTTGTGCACGGTGACCGTGACTAGAATCTCACGGGCCCCACGGGAGCTCAGGAGGCAGAGCCCCGGGGATCCCCGCGGACCCGGACCCCAGGGCTCCGCGGGCTGCTGCGGTCGCTGGGGCTCCAGGGCCTGGCGGTCGCGGGGCCTCGGCTGAGTCCTGGGCAGCAGTTTGGGGAAAAGTAGGTGAGGTTGGAGCCGACCCGCCTAAACCCCGCGAGCCCCTAATTGTTGTCACAAGACGCGGGATTAGCGCATTGCTGGAATAGCTGTCTGTTTACACTCAGGAGCCCCCGCCGGCCGGTAAACACTTTCTAATTGAATTCTAATCACATTCAAATAGCCACATAACAGACCTCAGCTGCAATTCATAAAACTTTAATTGCTATCCATAAATCCTCAGATCACCGAGTGCAGGGTGTCCCTAAAAAAGCTGTTGCATGGTGCCTGCCCGGGGAGGTGCGAGGGGAAAAGGGGAGCAGGGCTAGGGGAAAGCCGGTCCCTGCACAGCGGCACTGCCCGCGGCAGGATGGGGATGGGGATGAGGACGGGACAACACGGTCGAGACCGGGCCCTTCTCTTAGCAAGGCTCGAGTTCCCGGGCGAGAAAATGCCGGCTCCTTCAGAAGGCGGTTTTATTTTGCTGGGTTTAACAGCGGGAGACTGGGTGTGCGGGAGGGATGATAGGATGCCCGCGGCCCGGCCCTTGCACTAACCGCTTCTAAACACGTTTCGGCTATTGCTGGGCTCCCGAGTTTCTGGTTAGCCTCCGGCAATCAGGCATAGTCTGTGTTTTCTGCTTTAGAGCACAATTGTCACTTCCCTTTCCCGTGTCAAGTGGGATGGGATCCGCACTCTGTTTTAAACGCCGCTTCGCATCTACTAAACAAGCACGCGATAGTCCTTCTATTAACGATAAGTCTCTTCTTAAACTCCCATAAAACAGGTCATTGGAAAATCGCGTAATATGCTGCGAATACCTTGGCTTTGTAATGCATTCTGAAATGCTTCCGAGCCACCGACCGTATTTAGCTGTTTATCCAATTTTAGTTTGAATGATTGCTTCAGCAAACTTGGTGGAGATCAAAGAATCCCTCCCTGACATGTTCGCTTTTCATTAGCGCTACGCACTGCGGTCCTGGAGAGGCCGGGGAAGTTCGCTTGGAAGTTTTCCGTTTTGATACCGTTTGGCTGAGAAGTGTCCAGATATTTGAAGGCTTTGTCCGTTGCAGTAATTGCCAATTTGGCAAGACTCCTTTGAGGTGAAAAGGGCGAGGAGAAAAAAAAGCCACTCAACCCACCCTGCGTGCGTACGTATGCATAGACGCACAAACGCGCTCCATCCCTAACCTTATATCCATGGCTGCTTGTGTACCTGGCTCCTCTGATGCAGAAAGAGCCTCCTGAAGGAGTCCTGAGTGCAGGGAGTGGGCCGGACTGGGGAAAGGTGTTGGCCGCAGGCCTCTGTGGGATCCACGGCCCTTTGGATGTTCTTTTACTGGGGGTCAGGGGGGCGGAGTTGAACCGCGTGTTTCAGGGCATTACCTGCTCTCACCTCTCTTTCCCTCACGGTGAGGGAAAGGAGCGTTGTCCTTGGGGAAAACCCCTGAGCAGAAATTCCTTCCGATTAAATTTATCCCCAGCGTCCCGGGTGTGTTGACAGAGAGACATGCGTGCGAGCGCGGCGTGTGACGGGGCCGCGGAGCAGCCGCCCCCTCCCCGCTTTCTCTGCTCCTATAATTTATTTGAGGCGGAGGCAAAGGAGTGAAGTCATCGGGCAACGAGCAAGCACGCACACTTTGCCCCCCTCCCCTACCCCGCTTTGGTCCCCCCCGGCAGCCTCTCCTGCCGGCCTGGGAAGCCGGGGAGATTTAGATCTGCGGGGCTTTCAGCCATCACGTGTTTAAATACTTGATATAAAACCCCGGCGCAGGGGATCCAGGCGGGGGGACTTTAAGACCGGCCCTCTCCAGGGACCCTTTTGTTCAGCTCTCAAACATAAGCACCTTCTCGACTCGCCAGGACTTCAGTGGCAACTTGGCCGAGCAGGAAAACCCGACTTTGGGAGAGCCGCCCCCGGCCTCGCAGCCCTCCGCAATGTCACGCTCCTTCTATGTCGATTCCTTAATCATCAAAGACTCCTCGAGGCCGGCTCCGTCCCTTCCTGAGCATCATCACGGCCAGGACTTCTTCATCCCTCTCAGCATGCCTTCCCCCCTCGTCATGTCGGTGTCGGGCCCGGGCTGCCCGTCCCGAAAGAGCGGCGCCTTCTGCGTCTGCCCGCTCTGTGTCACCTCGCACCTGCACTCGTCCCGCGGCGGCGGCGCCGGCGGGGCCATCCCTCTGCTCAAGAGCCAGTTCCCCGCGGCCGCAGGCGAGGCCCAGTGCTGCCCGCGGAGCGGCCACGCTCACCACCCGCCGCAGCACCCGCCGCCCGCCGCCGCCGTGCCCGCCGCCGCCGCCGCCCTGGGACACCCTGCGCATCACCCACCTGCCTGCGCCGCCACCACCTACAGCGTCAGCGACCCCCGGAGGTTTCACTGCCTCGGCATGGGTAGGAGCCCTGCGGCCGCCGGGGAAGGGGGGCAGGGGGAGAAGGGGTGTCGCCAAGGGAGAGCGGCTGTCCCGGGTCGGAAAGCTACTGGGGAATGTCTTCTCTCTGTCTGTCTGTCTGCCTCGCCTCCCTCTCCCACTCTTCCCTGTCCCGCTGAAGTTCGTATTTCTCTCCCGTCCAGGAGGGTCCGAATCCAGTCAAATTCAAAATGGGAAACGGATGAGGACTGCTTTTACTAGCACCCAGCTCTTGGAGCTGGAGAGGGAATTTTCCTCTAACATGTACCTGTCCCGGCTGCGGAGGATCGAGATAGCCACGTACCTGAACCTGTCTGAGAAGCAAGTGAAAATCTGGTTCCAAAACAGGAGGGTGAAGCACAAGAAAGAAGGCAAAGGCACCCAGCGAAACACGCACGGGGGCTGCAAGTGCAGCACCAGCCAGGGGCATTACCCCCGGTCAGAGGATGAAGAGTCTCTATCCCCCTCATCGGCTACCGAGGATAAAGAGATCTCCCCGTTATGAGCCCGGCTGGAGCTCCGCTCCTGCCGCCGGGTCCCAGCCCGGAGCGAGGTGGCGGCACGGCGACTTACCTGGCACCGCTGCCCACGGACGGCAGCCCGCTAACCTGCAGCGGGCTGGCCCTCGCCGCCGCGGAGGTTTCATTGTCATCCATTCGCAGTAATAGAAATAGAAGTGTATATATATATTTTTTTTTTTCGGAATGCAAACGTTTTAGTCGTGGGAGGTCAACCTAAACGTTATTTATGTAACCCCAGGAGAGAGCACCTGCTCATTTCAAAAATGTAACATGGGACAAGGCTCGCATAGCCCAGGGTGTCTTCCTCTGTATCCCCACAGGCAATTTAAAGGAAAAAAAGAAACACATTTGAAGCCGAAAGGCGACAGAGAAAAAACCAAAAAACTAACCTGAAAAGCAAATTAAAACCTGTAAAGAACCTACTGGACGGATTTCTTAACAAAAATAAGAAAAGTCATAATGATCGCCCATTTGGGTTTGGGACGGCTGTTTGTCTGTGAATAGTTTTATATAAAAATTATATTTATATTTATTTAAATAAATGAAATCAGACGAGAATTTAACTTTTTTCCTCTTACCCCCCCGACTCCCCCTTCCTCTCCTGAAGTGTTAGCCCAGTCGCAGCAGCGAAGGTGCACTGGCTGGGCAAGGTGCTTTCCTTTGCAGTCCTTGTCCTTCCCACGGTGAAAGCATCGCTGTATATGTGTCCGATCTGCGTAAAGAGTGAAAATAAAAGCCATCGGCTACTAACACGAACATGTTTTCTGTTCCCCTGTGACCCGGGACGGCTGGGGGGCGGAGAAGGGGGGGAACTCCGCTCCGGCCGGAATGCAAATACAGCCGGTCCTCTGAGTCCAGCAGCCTTGTGTTCCTTCCCAAGCCGAGCCAGGGCACGCCCTCCTGGCGACTGACAGCTTTCTCCCGTCTGCCAGCCCTAAGGCACCGCGCTGGGGACAAGCGGCTGCCGCTGGCAGGGCCGCCGATCGCGGCACGGGGCCGGGAGAAGGGCTGTGTGCCGGGATCCCCGCCCCGCCAGCCTGGTAGCTCCGGCTCTTCCCTCACCGAGGGGGCTGGCTGCACACGTCGACCCTTCACCAGGCTGAAGCTCCGTTTAAGTTATTTTACAGGTCGATGTTAAGCAGAGATCAGGGTTTGTTTTTCCCCTCAGGCGCCGGAACAGCGTTAGCTCTTTTCGGTGTTGATTTCATTAGGCACCCTGACCAGGCTTAGGGAGAAGATCTGAGTGCAAACCCGTTAGGCTGAGGCACGGTTGAAGTCCTCAGCAATCTGCGTCGGGCAGCGCTCAGCCACGGATCCCATCCTGCCTCTGCCTTGGGCAGCCCATCCTGAGCTCCTTGCAGGAGAGTTACAGGTGGCTCATGAGAGTGGGATGGACCTGGAACTAGTCGGTCCCAAATGACCCCCTTTACAGTTTTTTTCCCTAGTTCCTGAGTACTGACAGACAGCAAGCTTATATACAGCAAGCAATATAAGCAAATCAGAAATGCCTTTTGCACATTATGTTATTTCTCTCACCTTTTCCTTGGATGGATTTTCCACTAATCCAATATACACTTTTGACTTCAACATCTGAAACAATCCTTATATTTATCGTGTTTTATCCCTAACTTCAGAGCTTCAGCTCAGAGGTACGTCTCCACATTGACTTGCCTGCAATCACCCTGGCTGCTGAAGAGAGAGGCAGGCACAGCACAGGGACACTTGCACTGCTGGCCTGTCTTGGAGGAGAGGCCAGATGCATGGGCAGGGCTGGGGCAGGATGGAGAGAGCCTGGTATGGGCACTGCCCCACAGCCTGGACCAACTTCAGGGCTTGGGGCAGAGGCAGAGTCAGCACATACACATCTGACAGGAAGGGAAAGGCAGGACTGATATTTCTAGCCTGGACTTGAAAAACAAATACAAAATCTCACTGATTAATACCACTGTTATTTCACTGCCTGAGCTAACTACAGAGGCCAGAAGCATGCCAGCTCAGTGGCTGGGGATATTGGTACCCCAGTGGCAGTCCTCTCACTTGCCAGGCTGGGGAGACCAATGAGCCAAAGGCTTTTGAGGTCCTTGTGACTCCTTCTTGAGAGACTTCATGGAGGGTATGACTGAGGGGTTGTCCCCTTTTCCCCTAAAATTTGCTGAGGTGAAATCTGAAAACTGCTGATTCTCTGCTTCAGTTCACCTGTGTCTAAATTGCTTCTACATAGTGGGTCTTTCCCAACCTTGAAGCTCTGGGAAGAGGCGTTAGTTCCACAGAAAGTACTGCCCATTCTCTCAGCAATGTCATCCCAGTACTGTAACAGAAGGGAGTCAACAGGCCTCCAGCAGCCTAGGAAAGCAAAACTTTGCTGGGTGAGAAAAAGCATCACAGTCTCTGAAATCTAAGATTGCAAAACTCAAAGATATTTTAAAACTGCAAGGATACACTTGATAGAGTGTATATGTTCTGAGTGTACCTCTGTAGAAATATGCACCAGTGAATAATTTGGTATTTCCCTGTGTTTCTAGAAAGTAAACAGTGAGATTTCTCTTCATTGCAGTGTTTAGCAATTTCTTAAAAAAAAAAAAGGAAAATGAAGCTAGTTGGTCGTTCTTGTAACAACCAATGCTTGCATGTGTCTTTCAAGGGTTGGGAGGTAGTTATGATGGTGATCAACATCATCAGATACAAGCTATCATTGGGACAGTTGAGACAATATTTATTTCAAAAATATTTCAACAATATTTTATTTCATAGTATATGTTTAATGTAAAAAACTTCGGAAAAGAGGACTGGTGCAATGGTTTGCCCTGACACATTTCAGAAGGTGGATAGAACCAACTCGACCTGAACCTGGCAGGCCAAGTCAGTGTGACAGAAACACCACTGGAAGCTGAATATGCTGTAATTTGCAGGAAATGTTTTGTATGGTCCACATCCAGCATTCAACATTTTGAAATTTAGGCAAATTTACATTAAAATGTGTTGGGTTTTTCCTTCCCCGTCCCCCTGTCCCCCTACCCCCCCACCCCTTCTTCTTTCTATCCTTTTTTTTTCCTCCCACAAAGTGTGAAGTGCAATATTTTCCTCTCACTGTTCAGCTGCTGATGGAGCCATTCATGGCATAACATGGTGGCAGAGGAGTTGCCTGTGTCCTGTGTGGATTTCAGGTATGGAACAGCTCCTAATGGCCCTCCGGGTTACCTAGGGGCCCCAGCAAAGGGAAGGTCACACAACTAAAGCATGAGCATTGGCACAAGAGGTGTGACTCATGTTTGTGTGGGTGACCCTACTACTGACCTTCTGTAACCTGTTCGGTTATCATCCCTCCAGAAAATTTTTCCCTTGAGATATTTATTTACTAACTGTAATTCCATTTAACTATTTTCAATAAAAATTAAAAAAAAATCAGAAGAAGAAAACATCACTCTTGAGGAGTTTCTGTGACCTTGGTCTGCATGGCTGAGGTCAGAACCTCTGGTTGTGGATCCCCTGGTTGAACCTGCTCCCAGGCAGATGTGCTAGCTCACAGGCTGCTGGAACTGCAGTGCCAAAGACACCGTTCTCTCTCGGCTGCTCTTTCCAACCCTGCCCTGAAGCCCCCATAGGCACTGCTGAAGCCTTTCCTCACTGTCTGAGCTCTTGTCACAATGTTTGTGACCAGCATCTCGCACTTCTACCCCAGACGTGGGGAAGTGGAGGCCCTTCGGTCAGCTCCATGCTTCCACATGTGGTGTAGCTGGGACACAGTGGCAAGTACACTCTAGAGATTCCCAGGCTGAAGGGTTCAGTGTTTTGTCTGGCTGCACATCCTCTCTAGGGGATATGGGGCAGGCTAGACCTCATCAGTCAAGCCCCAAGCACTCACGGAGATGAGGGTTCACAGTGTAGGGATCCAGGCCAGGAAACTGCAGGGAAGCTCTCCTTCCTCAGTATCTCAGGTACTTGGAGCTGGGCAGAGAGAAGACAGTCTATCTAATCCTGTTGCATTCACCCCTAGTTTATCCTGATTTCCTACTCCCGCCCCTCCCGCTGACCTAACCCCAACGGGACACGGCCTCGGGTGCGGCTCCCCAGCGCCTCCCTCGTGCTGCCCTTGCGGGCAGGGGCAGCCGAATCGTCGGCAGCGCTGCTCGGCCGCTCAGATGCTGCCCGGGGCTCTTTTTCCCTCCTGTACGGTTCAGTCGACGGCACAGCAGCAGGACGAGGCCACGGCCAGAAAGGATCATCCGGGAGTTTTTGTGGTGCCCACGGGAATAAGATGGCGAGGAAGTGGCGAGTCCTATTACCACCACTCCGGGACTCCGGCGAGCGTCCTTACACCAGCTCGGAGGACGTGGGCAGGGCGGGGAGCACTCCCATTCTGGATCCGGAGCCTAAAGATGACCGCATGCAGTCCTTCGGGAAAGAAACTCGGCCAAAACACTTGCCCCCCCCCCCATTCTTTTAGTGTCTGCTCGAAAAGCGTAAGTACGATAGCAGGAAGCGCACCCCGCAGCCTCTGCGCATCTCTGTCGGCTGAACTGGGTCTCGGTCTGGGCGAGAAACCCCAGGCAAGGTTGGCAGCCCGGGCCCGGGGGTCCTGGGTGGAACCCGGCCCTGGGAAGGCGCCCTCGCTCCGCCGGGCCCCCGCCGGTGGCGGAACGCCGTGCGCCGGGCAGCTGCCGAGGAGTCCCGCATGACGGCGGAATAACAAACAGCCCGAACCCACTGTGCCACTCGGAAAACCTCGGGGCGTGTGTCCGCGCTGCAGCGCGCTCAGCCTCGCCGTGAAAGGGCCGATTTCACGCAGGATCTGCTCCGCGCCCCTCTCCGCCCCCCTGCGCGCTTCCCAGCCGGCCCCGCTCAAGGCGATGAACCGGCCTCGGCCCCTCCACGCCTCCCCCCTGCCCCGACCCCAGCCGGCGTGTCCGGGGGGATTTAAGCTGTTGGAAGCGAACCCAAAGAGATCGGAAGCGTGCGCTGTGTGCTCTGGAAAAATAACTAGTTT